TTTTATTTGGAAGATTCGTTCATCATTCATTCGCATAAAATTGCAGTTGACAACACAAACGTACAAAAAGAATGAGATTGGTTTACTTTGTACTTGTCTTTACTTGCCATTTTGGATGCCGTCATCCAAGTCTCTGCCAGCAAGAAGGCATGTTCGCGCCTGGTTAGTACTATGGTGGGGGACTTTTGCCTTTTCAATTTCATTTTTGCGGCAATCCCGGTAAACAAACTGAAGACTTTCTAATTGATAGGGTAGCATCATTTGTATGCAGTGTTTTAGGATCTTTTTCATCATTACAGTACAGTGCCCGTTTTTTCGCAGAGACTAGTACATTATTTCTACATCGGAGTGTTATCGTCGTTACTATAATAATAGCCATATATTTAAACTAATTTTTATCTCTTTCTCCTTCCGTTGGTATTCTAGAATGAACCAATCAGCTGATCCTACAGTAGTAGCTTCCGCCGTCATCCATGGTTGTCGTCCATCCTAGAATTTGAACGTAGTCGTCCATTTCATATAAGTTTGGTTACAAAGTTGGTTGATTGTTATTTTTCAATACCAAGTACCAGACATGCCAATCTGGCAATGTCATAGTAAAGGATATTGAAATGGGTTGAAGACGCCGCTGCTCCCTTCAGTTCCAGTGCCATCGCGAAACTGCATGTACCACCGAGCATTGCCAATTATACAATACATATAATTGACAATGACAGCTGTTCACATGTCTAACCGATATCGCTTGCTCCCCATATTTGAGCAGGGTGATGGATCACATGATACTGATATTCCATGGGAGACTTCCGCTTTGTCTTTCAAATCCAATAACAGAGTGGTAGAGTTCAAGACTCTTTTTTTCAAAAATTGAATGGGACCGCTTTTCTGGGCTCTTGCCGATCATGGACGCGCTTATGAGCCTCGGCCTGCCCATCCATTCCGCAAAGACTGGAGGGAAGCATCCAAACTCAGCAAGCCATGAAATCGTCTGGTTTCGCGTCGCCAATGCAATCCTAGCGAGTGACCAATCCACTAGAAACCGCAAAGGAAAATACTAGCCAGCCGAAGGATCCCTTATAAATGTGCGACGGCACAACAAGACTCACTGATTTGCTGTGCAATTGTATTATCATAGTTGAACAAAGAAGAAAACAAAAAGCTGTCAGACCATGGTTCAGAAAGTAGATGCAACTGAAACGATCAAGAAAACTTACCAGGAGAAATGAAGTGACGTCGTCGTCGTTATTGTCATGACAAAATTGTCATTAAGGGGTGAATTTCCATTGAACTCTTCGATGGGTAACCGATATCACTTGCTCCCCATATTTCAGCAGGGTGATGGATCACATGATACTGATATTCCATGGGAGACTTCCGCTTTGTCTTTCAAATCCAATAACAGAGTGGTAGAGTTCAAGACTAAAAAATTGAAGGGACCGCTTTTCTGGGCTCTTGCCGATCATGGACGCGCTTATGAGCCTCAGCCTGCCCATCCATTCAGTAAAGACTGGAGGGAAGCATCCAAACTCAGCAAGCCATGAAATCGTCTGGTTTCGCGTCGCCAATGCAATCCTAGCGAGTGACCAATCCACTAGAAACCACAAAGGAAAACACTAGCCAGCCGAAGGATCCCTTATAAATGTGCGACGGCACAACAAGACTCACTGATTTGCTGTGCAATTGTATTATCATAGTTGAACAAAGAAGGAAACAAAAAGCTGTCAGACCATGGTTCAGAAAGTAGATGCAACTGAAACGGTCAAGAAAACTTACCAGGAGAAATGAAGTGACGTCGTCGTCGTTGTCATGACAAAATTGTCATTAAGGGGTGAATTTCCATTGAACTCTTCGATGGGTTGTTCGTGTGTTGTTGCACACTATCATCATACTTCATCTACTTCAAAGTCGTACCAAGAATGTACTCTTTAATTGGTACCGCTTCGTCGATTTGCCACTCGGTGACTGTACCGTCTTCCTTCTTGTTCCGTCATGCCAGATCCCAAAGCTTCGATGAAAGGATCCTCTGCATGTGGAATGAGAAGCTTGGCCAGTCGAAGGCTGTAGCGCTTTCCAGATTCGGTCCATCCGGATCCCATTCCATCAGGAGGAATATCAATAGTAGCTGTGTTGTCGTCAGATTGCTCGGGCGGTGGTGCCAGAATTTCATCATCGCTGATAGTATCCTCCAAAGGATCCTCGGCAGAATCAATGCTGTCATCAATCAATTCAGCATCTAAAGAGGATTCAATATCAATAAAATTGTCCTGTTCTTGTTCTTCTGGATGTTCAATAATGACAGGTAGCAAAGGAGTGAATCGTTCATTGATTCGTTTGGCCCATTCTGTAGCAGAACTTGGAACCGTAGATGAATTCAATTTGCGACGCTTGGTGGGCCTGGGTGCAACAGGGCAGTAAGTTGCGGTTCTCTTGAGAGCCAATCGTGGTTCCTCGTCTTCCATATCATTGGGCTCGACGTTGCCAGCATCATCCAAATCCATTGGTACGGGAATATTGGAGAGCATGTCATCAAGGACGGTTTGAAGCAGTTGTCGGTGGTTCTTGAGCGCAAATTCTTTCTGCTTCCTTTTGGCCTTGGCAGCCTTGATCTTGAGCTTGGTGAGAATGGAACGTGTTGCTTTGGAGATGCATTGTGGATTGCTGAGGGTGCTCGCCACAACAATCTTCTCCACCTTGGAACGCAACTCGTTTAGGACACACTTGAAGACCAATTGTTTAAGGACGCGCTGGAAGACAATTTGCCAGCGTATCTGCCCAAAATGTTCCCTGAGAGATTGAAGTTCTTGCTCGTCTGGGACAAAAGTTCTCTTTTGAAAGAATGGGGCAAAGTGGACTCGGTTTGGTGTTCGGAAAAGTGCTGCTCCAAACCAATAGGTCCGGTTGTTCTTGCGATGAGACGACCCTCCTGAACGACGAAGAATGGAAACAGGAGGCTGCTGTTGGCTGCTGTTCCGTTGCTTGCAAAGTCCTTGATAGGTTCGGTATAGGTCGAGCACCATGTACCAAAGTAACAAGAGCGCTGCCGCACAAACCAAACCGGCTGTGATGGTTTCTCGAACGGTTTGAGTGATGATCAAGGGCATTCGAACAGGCAATCTGAAGAAGCTGATGCCTGCTTGAATTAATTCTTGGTTGACAATGATGGTAGTGATGATGGTAGTGATGTAGTTGATAATAGTGTTGGTCATGGTGATGTTTGATGTAGTCGGTGTATTAGTTGGTATAAAGAATTTCATATTGGTAATTGTGAGGTGTGTGAAAACAACCGCTTGATGAGAGCGGTATTATTGGAGATGCGAGACGACATGAGATGATCGTTTTCGCGGAGTCTCCGCCCACTTGACTCCTTCGAATCGATTTATCGGTGGTTCTTTTTAGAAACTTTGAGTACCCAGTTAGCGGACGGAAAGTGTTGGTATTGTCGTATGTCGAATCCGAAAGTAAGTACAGCCAGATCTGTAGCTGCCAGACGCTATAAGATAAAAGTAAGCTCTACCACGTCCTTTACAAATCTATTGTCTCAGATAAAGATAGCAACAGCAACAGC